ATGCGAAAGGCTGGACTGGAGGAATCCCAAGCTGGAATCAAGATTGCCGGAAGAAATATCAACAACCTCCGATATGCAGATGATAACACTCTGATGGCAGAAAGTGAGGAGGAATTAAAGAACCTTGTAATGAGGGTGAAAGAGGAGAGTGCAAAAAATGGTCTGAAATTCAACATCAAAAAAACTAAGATCATGGCCACTGGTCCCATCACCTCCTGGGAAATAGAAGGGGAAGATATGGAGGCAGTGACAGATTTTACTTTCTTGGGCTCCATGATCACTGCAGAGAGTGACAGCAGCCACGAAATTAAAAGATGCCTACTTCTTGGGAGGAAAGCCATGACAAACCTAGACAGCATCTTAAAAAGCAGAGACATCACCTTGCCAACAAAGGTCCACATAGTCAAAGCTATGGTTTTTCCAGTAACGATGCATGGAAGTGAGAGCTGGACCCTAAAGAAGGCTGACCGCCGAAGAATGGATGCTTTTGAATTGTGGTGCTGGAGGAGACTCTTGAGAGTCCCCTGGACTGCAAGGAGAACAAACCTATCCATTCTGAAGGAAATCAACCCTGAGGGCTCACTGGAAGGACAGATCCATGGGGTCACGAAGAGTCGGACATGACTACACGACTAAACAACAACAATGGTGCCTCCGGGGAGTTAGGAGGAGATGTTCTTTATAGAGTCTGATAGGCAGCAAGACTACGATTCCCAGGAAGCACTGCAACCACTTTGTTTTAAAAAAATTTACAGGAAGCAGAGGCTGGAAGAGGCTGTGCAGCCTGGTAGATAGGCCTTTTTTTGCCAAGTGAGCAAAATACAGTATAGGTGTCTGTAGCTGTGTGTTTGCAGCCTAGAAATTTGCTTGCAGAATTTTAAGAGCTGGAATTCAAAACAAAACAAAACAAAACAAAAGTTACCCCTATTCTTTGCCATGTTGTTACATTCACAGCTGACAAAATATTAAACGTGACTCTCAAAAGGTGCACGGCCTAGAAACTTTAATTCATTTCCTGAATTTTTTTGAACTTGATTTTTGACCTCTACACATTTCCAAGATGGTGTGGAGCTGTGTTATTTTTCAGCAGAAACAACAATACTTACGATAAGATCTTAGAGAGGAAGATGTTTATTTGGCCTTACACCAGAGGGTGTAAGATTTTTGCACCAGGAGAAGCTCCGCTTGGATTTTAGTATACGAAATTTGAGGGTCATAAGATGGCCGTATTTCCATTTTCCTTGAAGATGCCGGAAGGAATGTAGCTCCCACTGAATTTACATCACAAACAAAAGCGCAAAGCAAATGCCCCTTTTGTTCTGGACTCCTTTGGCCAGGGTAGGGCGAGGCATGTACCCATCCTTTTTCTCTTGCAAGCGATTCGTGTGTGTGTGTGTGTCCCTGTCGTCCGTTCTGCAAGATGCCTGGGAAGAGGGGGCGGGCGTCCTCAAAGCCCAGATACGACAGGGAGATTAATGATGATGAATGGCTGGCCTTAGCTAGCCACCACATTGGAGTCTTTGGGAAGAGAGAGGGACATCAGAGCAGCTTAGCCGGTGCTCAGACTGCCTGCCACAAGGAATAAAGCTCTCCTTGAAGGTGCCCGGTGTTGCATGCGTTTGTGTGCGGAGGAATGCTCTGTCACGGATCATATGGGGAGCCAGGGATCCTCTCTGATACACAGAGCACAGCCCTTCCATGCTTTGGCACACAGGACAGCATCCTTGGTTATGCGCATGACCTGTGACAGCCTTTTCAACAAGGGAAGGCAATCCAATATTTTACCAGGGAGAGGAAAGTTTGGTCAAGAATTTTAGCAGCCCACCCTCTTGCATTCATTGCGGAAATGAGTTATATTGCAGATATGAAGAAATGGGGAAATTATCCATTTTGGAATAGATCTCCCAGATTCCCAACATAATTTTATGAGATGTACTCTAAAAAAAAAAGGGGGGGGGAATCTCCGGCTTGCTGATCTGGAAAAAATCATGACTGCTGAACTATAAGTCTGACCTACTTTGTTGCGCGTACAAACTCAAAACTGGCCAAACAACAAAGCGTCCATTCATGCTTTAAGGGCTAACACATTTATGGCAGCACGACCTGTTGAACGTCATAGGTCTTTCCTGACTTAAGAGGACACTCTGTCTCGCTGTGTGGTCAGGTTGACCACTTCCCGTGTCTGCATGAGGTGCCCCTAAGTGGCCAGTGTTTGCCCCAGTCACTTAGCCTGGAGCGAAAGAAAGGGGAGAGGGGCCAGATATTTCCGTTCTTCTCCCTGTTGTGAAACCATCCATGGATGGAACATCTTGAGAGCCGCGTGAGCAGAGATGGAGGGACATGGCTATCAGACTTCTGGGTCCTTTAACATTTTGGCAAATAGCAACCGCTCTGCGTGTGTTCCTGAGTTCTATTTTTTTTTTAAAGTCCTTCCTCCAGGAGATTGGTGTCTTGAAGACAAGCCTTGATGCAAGGGAGGATTCTTGTGGGTTAACCTTCTCCTTTAGTACCAGAGTCCACCATTGCTCTTCCCCAAAACGTAAAGAAAGCTGGACTAGATTCAGGGCATGGAAGGGAGAAAACTGGTGTAAGAAACATCCATAACTTCAGATAAGCAGATGACCCCATCTTACTGGCAGCAAGCAGTCTGATGGAAGTGAAAGAAGAAACTGTGAAAGCAGGATGGCCGTTGAAGGTTAAGAAAACCAAAATCGTGACTACAGAACGACTGCACAAACCCTGGACTGAAAGAGAGATGAACAAGGGTGTGTGTGTGTGTGTGTCCTAGATCAAATCAAGCCTGAACTTTCTCTGGAGGAAAGATTTTTTTTTCTAGAAAAGACAATAATGCTAGGAAAAATTGGAGGCAGCAGGAAAGGAGGACCACACACAAGAGAGACGGAATCCCTAAAGGAAGCCACAGGATTGAGTTTGCAAGAGCTGAGCAGGGCCACTGAGGACAGGAGATTCTGGAGCGTGCTCATCCATAGGGTCGCCACAGGGCGGAGGAGACTTAATGGCATGCAATAAACAACAAGAAGGAGATGATTGGAGATATTTATCATTACATGCAGTTGGGTGCTGCAACCAAAGAAGATGACAGGGGATGCTTCGTCACATGGACTAGCACATTGCCCTCGCAGGCTATCGACAGCCACTTTTAAAACCAGAAGAAGCCAGAAGAGTCAAAGGAAAGGAGGGCAAGAAAGACGACCGTTTGGAGAACCGCTCTCTTCTACAGGAGAAAGAAACAACAGCGGGAAAACGGCACCCTTCCACCAACCACTTCCCCCTCGTGAACGCACCTTGCCTTGACTGGTTCTGAAAGTGAACCAGCAAGGTCAGGCCTGCCCGGCGCCTGGATGGGGGACCACCAAGAATCAGCTGGGATCCCCAGATAGGGTTGGGAACGAGTCCTCGTGGAAACGCGGCCGAGCCACAGCTGCCGGTCAGAGCTGGCAAGGCTGGGTAGGGTGTGCCGAGGACCTTGCTTGGCTTGAGACAGCGCTCTCCGCCCCAAAGAAGGGTTGCATGTCATGGAACGTGGTGCTGCGGGAGCTGCTGGTGGTGCATGGAAAAGCCGCCTTGTCAGCCCATGATAAATGGCTCCAATTTGGCAGCCACTTCCCGCAGTCACTCTCCGTGGGAAGGCCCTCCCTCTTCCCTGCCAGCTGTTCCCTGCCCGGAGGCATTAGCCACGCTTTGCCAAGGACAGCCGGAGCACAAAGCGGAACAAAACGGATGACAGGGCAGGACGGGGAGGAGGCTCTATGTGCTGACAGTTTGGACGGAGCTGCCCCTTCCTTGCTCTTTGAGGGGTGGAACTGATTCACAGCCAGGGATCACCTCTGGTTGTGTGTGTTTCCGTGGTTGCTCCGATTCTGGGAGAGAATGGCGGTACTCGGCTCCCTCCCCGCTACTCCTGTGCCTGTTCGGTTCTTGAAGAAGACAAACCCTGCACACGTCAGCCCTTCTGCTCCAGGAAGGCAAGGGGCAGGATATTATGAGAGACTTAATCGTTATCTTTGGGTTGCTTTAGCATCTGATGCTCACGGGTAGACTGCCTTGCCACATGGAGGTTCTACTTTGCTATGGTGGCTAATAGCCACCGACAGGCCACGGACCTGCCTAACTTCCTTTTCATAACCCATCTCAATCCTCAGGTGCTGGGATTTAAAGAAATGTTGGCCCAAATCCACAAGGGTAGTGGTTTTCTCATCCAAATGTGTTGATAAGCAGGTCTGGCAAATTTGGAGAAGGTGGCTGGGCTCCATGTGGGTGAATAATGTCCAACATTTCCACTATGGTTCCAAAACTATATGAGAATTCACAAATGCGAGGGCAGTTTTGACAACTGTTATATCTCATTTTTATTTCTTGGCATTCCTGGTTTCCTAAAAACAGCACAGGAGTGTACAGTAGTTTTTTGGGGTGGGTGGGCATTGGGGGGCGTGTCCTGATGAGTTATATGGGCTGGGACCTGGTTTCCTAAAAACAGCACAGGAGTGTGGTTTCTTGGGGTGGGTGGGCATTGGGGGGGTGTCCTGATGAGTTATATGGGCTGGGATGGAAAAGTACGGTACTGGCAAAAAGCAATGCATTCGTTAGAACTTGTCTCTGTTTGGTTGGTCGAAACAATTAAACCTGCCAAGGAGACAGTGGGAGGGTGGGGGGTGTCGTTGCTCATAACTTTTCAAGTGAGCAGAAAAACTTTATGGCACTCCTTCTAAGTAGGAAGCTGGAAAACAGAACCAAACCTGGTTTGAACCTTTTAACTAGAGCTGGCTTGCAGCTGACCTCTTGCAAAGTTCTTCCTGCTTGTCTGAATGGCCGGGGGGGGGGGCATAAATCAAAGGCAGCACCGAAGACTCCCAAGAGAATAAAAAAAGAGCCCTTCTACCTTGGGTAAGCGCTCAGGGTCTCCGGGGTGCCGTGGGACCACCTTCTGCAAACGCTGGAAGCCGTAGTCAATGGTTGGCTCGTTGAGGGCTGTGAAGGGGAGAAAGTAGGATGATTAACCAAGCGGCAGATTGGGGTCATCCATGAGAAATAAAGGATGATCAGGAGACCCAAACCCTGTGGTTTCTGTTGCAATTTTTTTCTGACCCGCTGGGGTTTGACCCAGCCCCCCCCCCCCGGGTGAAAACCCCGGCCACAATGCTCTTCTGCATGGACACACACACACCCATCGAAATGGCACTTTGTCTGTGCTTCAGGGCATTTAAGGTTACAAACACCATCTGCAAAATGACAGAGGTGATGGTGGGGGATGCAATCCCCCCCCCCCCGGTGAAAACCCCGGCCACAATGTTCTTCTGCATGGACACACACACACCCCCATCGAAATGGCACTTTGTCTGTGCTTCAGGGCATTTAAGGTTACAAGCACCATCTGCAAAATAACAGAGGTGATGCTGGGGGATGCAATTCCCCCCCCCCAGAATCCCCTCGCCACCACAGCTCCTGGGATTCTAGGTGTTGTCGTGCAATGTTCCAGATCACAGTTCCCAGAGCCTACCAGGACGGGTGGCCACACTGACGGAGGGCTCAGGTTTCATTTGGGAGACGGGGGGGCTGGAATGAAAGCAGAAGGCCGGCACAGAAGCCGAACAAAGCGTGTAGAATAAGGAACCTTGCACAATTCTTCCAAAGACAGGCAAGAACACATTTTATTATTAGCATGTATTTATCTTTATGTGCCATAGAGATTAAAACTGAAAATAATAAAGATATACCATACAATAATATTGTTGTAACATACACTTAATAAAAATAGAGATTAAAAAGGCCTGCCAACATAAGACGGCATATTGATTGTAGGGTGGATTTGATTTAAATCAAATGGATTTAAATCATTTAAATTAAAAATGTTCTGATAATTTCAAGATTTTTGACCATTTAAATTTAAAAATGGATCTTTTGATTAAAATCTAGACTTAAGTCCATTCAGTTTTTCTCCTCTTGCCCTCACACTTTTCCAACATCAGGGTCTTTTCCAGGTTATTGGGGGTGGGGGGAGAATGCACCAATCTGCTCCAGTCATGAGTGGCCCATCAGTGGTGAAGGCAGTATCCTTCCTCTCCTCCGTCTGCCTATCTATCATCTTCAGGTCTTACGAATAGGCACACACACACACGCTGAGGACAGGTGTGCGTGGACAAATCCTTGGTGTGCCAAAGAAGATGGAGAAATCTGGTGATTTAAGATCCCATCCAGCCCAACCCCTCTTTCTTGCCTATATCTTAATTTTTCATGGGTCTGCGGCCGAACAGCCACCACCTCCCCAGGTCCGCCCGCCTGCCCCCTTCCTTCTCCTCCGGGTCGCCTTTCAGGAGATAACGTTGATCACGAGGATGGGAATTTGCCAGCCTTTCCTGCTTCACCCCCTTTCCCATCCCGAACAAGACGTGCCGAGGGTCTCCCCACAACCTGTCTGTCATCCACCAGGCAAACACTCCCTCTCTCGCGCACCCCCCACCTACTCGGCCCAATTGGGGAGCTTCATTACTGGGCTGAGATGAAGATAGATTGCCTGCTTTAGCGTAAACATATGCTGCAATTCCAGTTCTGGGCAACGTTCATGCACCAGTAATTGGTATTGATTTTCCTCTGCTCCTTTCACAGGCCAGAGCACATGGCATTAGCCATGCAAGCAGGGGGCTCTCGCGCACCCCCCACCTACTCGGCCCAATTGGGGAGCTTCATTACTGGGCTGAGATGAAGATAGATTGCCTGCTTTAGCGTAAACATATGCTGCAATTCCAGTTCTGGGCAACGTTCATGCACCAGTAATTGGTATTGATTTTCCTCTGCTCCTTTCACAGGCCAGAGCACATGGCATTAGCCATGCAAGCAGGGGGTGGGCAGCTGTGTGTGTGTGTGTGTGTGTGTTTGTGTGTGTGTGTGTGTGAGAGAGAGAGAGAGAGAGAGAGAAAGAGAGAGAGAGAGAGCACACAAATACCGCCANACCACCAGGATAGAGTTGTGCCCTGGGGACAACTGAGGATGGAGCAAAGGGGGGGTGTGGGGGGTCTCGACAGCTCCAGACTCTCCTTCCCGTCTGGGGCTGCTTTTCATGCCAGGGCTCAGAAACGCACGACGCCTGGCTCTGAATGCCACACCCCCCCCGCAACCCCACCTGACAAAGGGGACTTAATGCTGGCCACTCTGCCACTGGGTGACTGGCGTCGGGAGGTGAGAAGGACACGATCCAGATTTCTGAGAGAAGGTGTTTTGCCCCGGGCCAGAGCTAGCTGGGGAGAGGGTTGTCTCCAAGCTCACCTCCTCCATCAGCAGCTTCTTCTTTGGGTGTTATTATTTAAAAAGAGCTTACTTCTTATACACGTGAGTATACGTGTGTATACATGCTCAAAGGCCCATAACGGAGCCGAGGGGTTTGTTCCCAGCCAAGTGAGCTGAACAGCTCCCAGATCCAGAAAAAGTGATGCCCTGCAATGCTTCCTCCTCTAGGATCTGGGGAGGTGCAAATAATGTGGGAATTAAACCAGCCTCCGGGGTGCAGAGCCCAGAGCGGTGGCTTCTGGCTGCCGGAACAGAAGGACCTGCCTCGTCACGACCCCTATTTTGGGTCGCCTGCCTCATCCCAGACGTGATCTCGTCCCATCCCCAAGTGCCTGGGGTCTCATCCTGTCCACCTGCCTCCCCCCCACCTCCTCTTCGGCTTCCTGAACCTGCTTTGAGGAGACCACGAAGGGAGGCAGGAGGGCGAGGAGTTCAGAAAAAGCCCTCTGAAACCTTGGGGGCTTTCAGGTTGACCCACGGACCTCTTGGGGCTTGATCAAGAATTGGGGATGACGGGAAAGGGAGTTTGGGGGGAGGCTGGTGCTGAACGTTAGGCTGCCTTTATCGGTGACATCCTCTGCTGTCGCTCTCCTCCCGCCTCCGCCCCTTCCTCTGGCTTGCTGGGCCACCAGTGGGGCCCCCTCCACAGAGGGGGTCGATCCGTATGGATAATTCATGAGAGCTCGAAATGGAAGGAGGGAGGGAGGGAGGTGGAGGGCCGTCCTCCCCTGGCACTTGGAGGAGCTCTCGGTGTAAGAACCAAGGACCACCAGTCCTCCTCCCCATCCCCGCCCCGAGAGAGATGTCCGAACGCGGGCACGCCTGCCGATCTGCGCGCAGTGGCCTCGTTCCTCTTGCAGCATGACGTATTTCTCTTCCTCCGTTCGCCTTTCGCTCTCCCCAACTCGCCTGCCTTCAGCCGTCTTCCTCCTTCCACAAATGGCCTCTGAACTGGGCTCGCTTCCCTCCCCGCCTTCTCTACAGTGTTTCTGTAGAAGGTTTTCATTCCTGCTCTTCCCCCTCTTCCAAAACCAGCATCTTCAAACGGTCTGGGTGCTGCCCTCTTTTGTAGGTAACCTAGTTTTGAGGGAAACTGACTGGGAGAAGGGAAGGCCAGCTGGAATATGGTAGGAGCTGAAATAAAAACACTCCTCTGCCCCATCTCTGATTTCTCCAAGGCTTCTTCCATCTTCTTTTTTACCACAAATACCCATAAAAAAGGCAAAGAAAACTCACCGGCCTGTTCCATATTCTGGGGTGGAGAAACTCTGGCCCTTCTCTTTCTTCTTGGCTCAAGTACAGCACCCATCATCCCCTACCACCCCTTCCTTCTGCTTACAAAGGCCAGACCGTGGTGGCCACCTCTGCGTGACCGTAGGTTCCCCGCCCGGCTCTTTATTCTGCTGCCATGACCGATCACAGTGTGCTTCAGACGGCCCTGCAGGATGACGGCCATCATCCCACAACCTAATCTGGACTGTGAAGGTCACAGAAGACCCCACGCGCCCCAGAGACCCCTAGGTTTTGCCCTCCCTGTGCTTATGGCCTTCAGGCAGGGTGAGCAAAGCTTCCCCCTCACCCAGGCGGTGCGAGGCTGCAAGCCTTTCTCCGGCCACACCTTTCCCCAGAAAGGACAGGAAACAGCGGCTCCTGGACACCGTCCGGAGTGGGGGGGGGTTTCACATTTTTAAAACTAGCCATGGGGTGTCTTGCAGCATTTGAACCTCCGCTGTGTCCCTCCCCTCTCGTTCTTCAAAACCTGAACATCTAAACTATTCTTGCTTTCCTTTTTTGAATTTTAAAAGCATTTTTGGTGGTTAGCACAGCTTCTGGAGGGTCACAGGGCACAAAAACGGCTCCCTAGATCCGCCCGAGTGGCCCAGCCCTCCTTTAAGATTCTGCTAACAGTTGCAGAGAAGGGCTCCCCACTTCACAGTCTCAAATGGCTTTATGGACACTTTCCATCTTTCGCAGTCCCTCCGCAGCGATGAAAGAGGTGCTCGGCATTGGGTTCTAATCCCACCAGCTACAAACTGGAACTTTCTTTGTTTACATTCCTGATGCTTCTCATTATGAATCTCTCTCTCTCTCTCACACACACACCCCCTCTTTTCACACACACACACACACACACAAAGGCTTTTAATGTCTTGTTTGCAATGAATGATGTCGTTTTTGATAGTTTCGTTGTTTTATTCTTTTCCCCTGCTGCTTTTATGGGATTTGCTTTTACTGAAGACCATGTTGAGCTTTTTTTTTTTAAACAGAAATGCTCCTTTGATAGGTAGTAAAAAATAAAAGACAGGCAGTGGGTTTTCATGAAGAGCTCTGGATTCCCAGGGGCTACTTCGTTAAGAAGCCACACATCACCTCCCTTACTGGAGGCTGGCCTTATGGCTGCAAAGAGTAGGATAGAGTGGTGTTCGTTCTTGTACACCTGTCCAGGTTTTTGTTGTTGTTGTTGTTGCTGTTGTTGTTGTTGTGTGTGTGTGTGTGTGTGTGAGAGAGAGAGAGAGAGAGAGAGAGAGAGAGAGAGAGAGAGAGAGAGAGAGAGAGAGAGAGAGAGAGAGAGAGAGAGAGAGAGAGTGAGGAGGATGCCTCCTGGAGCCATTTGGGCAGAAGAGAATGATGATGAAGGCCTCCCCAGCTATGACCCAGAAGGGATTCCTTTCCCGGCTGCACCTCTCCCCCCCCCATGCACTTACCGGTGTAAACGAAGCGCCCCGGGGCTCCTTTGCAGAACTGCTTCGATTTATAGGAGAGCGTCACTTCCACCACGCCCGGGATGTGCCTGGGAGGAGTCTGTACACGGATGGCATGCGGCGTGATGAGCTGTCCAGGGACGGAGAAGGGAGGGAGAAAAGAGGAGGAAAAAAAGGGATTAGATGGAAGGAGGCCATAGATAGGGGTGCGGAGCGGAGGGGCACTCTCCTCCATTCCTGCCCCTCCAATGAGGGACTGGCTTGAACTACTGAGGCCTGTGAGCCTCCCATCCAAAGAGTGACTTTGCAATTTCTGGGTGGGATTTATTCCTGATCTCCCCACTGACCGGTCCCCTTGATCTCACTAGTCTTCCTTGCTGAGGCTGTATGTGCAATGCAGCAGCAGGGCCCCTCCACCAACCTGTCCCGGTTTCATGGCCTGTCGTGGCTCTGGGCCGTCAAGTCTCCCTCCTTAACTTATAATCATAAAAATAACCTTCGAATTGCAGAGGCTGGAAAGGGACCCTCCGGATCATCGAGACCGGCCCCTATCAAGGAGGCCCGGTGGGGGAATCGAACTCGCAACCTAAGCCACTGAGCTATCCAGCAGTTCATGGGGATGCTATGAATGAGAAATCTCTAACAACCCTGCTCAGCTCTTGCAGATTCAAGCCCGTGATCTCTTTTAAGGAGTCAAGCCCATCTCCTCTTTTCCTATAGCCTTCCGCCTTTCCCTGCATGATTGTCTTTTCCAGGAAAATCCTGCCTTCTCCTGATGTGCCCCAAACATGACAATGTCCATTTCATCATTTTTTTTCCTCCCGAGATTGGAAAATCCTGCCTTCTCCTGATGTGCCCCGAACATGACAATGTCCATTTTCATCATTTTTTTTCCTCCCGAGATCGACCAGGCTGGATTTGATCTACTAGCTTCCTTGGAAATATAACCTGTCGAGGGCCAGTTAGTGAGAAACTTATTCCCAGGATTACCAATTTCTCCATTCGGAAGGGTCATCTTCAAGGGAGAAGGCAAGCGGGTTGAAGGGTTTTGTTACACCTGCGAAGGTGTGTGGGCGCCTGCAGAGACTCACCTCGCTCCAGACGAGCATGGTGCCAAAGACGACCTGAAGACCATCAAAGAAGTTGTCCCCGATCACAATGACTGTGGCGCCCCCGGTCGTCCAGCCTTCGCTGGGGCTGATGGCCTTGATGCACGGGGTCGCTGCTTCATGGAGCGGAAGGGGAGAGACAAGGGAAAGCATCAGGGGTTCTGGGGTGAGTAAACGTGGCAGGGGCCAAGAGGACCAAGAGGGAGCAGAACGTGGTGGAAGGAGGTGTCTGACGTATCATGGGGAAATACAAAACAGGCAAGAGAGCATCCTCAGAGCTACACATCACAACACACCTGGTTTTGTACCAGGTTTAAGCACCCTTGAAATTGATTTTAAAAATACCTGCCTAATCTTAGAACGGTAGAGCTGGAAGGGACCCCTAAAGATCATCCAGTCCAACCCCTGTCAAGGAGGCACCCTGGGGAAAATAGAACTCCCAATCTATGGCTCTACAGTCAGAGATCTCAACCCCTGAGCTAAGTGTGCATTTTTGTGTCATAAAGCAAATTTATAAGACCCATAAGGGGACTGTTTATTTTGAACTGATTCCCATTGTGGTTTTCAAAAATCATTTTGGCCTGCCTGCAGGCTCGCCCATGCTGGTGTAAATGATGTCTATGGGGTTTACCAAGTATTGGATGCCAGGATCATGGGTTTCAAGCTGCAGAGTACCCTGCCGTCTGAATTGGTTCCCCACACACACCATCTAGAACATCAAACTAGCACACTGAAATACATTTTTAAAAATACAAATTTTAAAAATAAGAAAAAGTTAATACACAGATGATTCGTGACAGCAGTAAGCAATTCTCTACAAAAGGACAAAAAAAAAAAACCACGTGCTAATTCGCTTAAAAATTCAACCATTTTAAAGCCCACATAACAGCACCCTGGACCAATATACAACACCGTTTGCAATCGGAATAGAAGTTTTCCCCAGACGACACCCACCCGGACACACAAACCATGTGACGTTAAACTGACTTTCCAAAACTCCGACCTGGCTCCCCATCCACTTTAACAGTGTAGCTGCGCCCCCGGTCGGGCAGAAGAGGTGGGGTGGGGGGGAGAGAAAGAAAGGCTGGAGGGCAGAAAAGTCCCTTTTCAGTTGGCACCCCCCAAAAAAACTCCATTCTGGGATATGTCACTGAAAAGAACAACAACTTTGGGACATTCTCAGATTCTGGTTTGTGGTCCTTTAAGAAGAAAAGCCCGACATGTTGGTAAGCCCCACGGGGTGGCCGTGGTGGGGCAGGAACAGTAGGGGAAGACCTGGGTTCCAATTTCCCAACGGGACTTTGTGTCCATCACCACATCTCAGACAAACTGACCACCGGGGGCTGCTATGAAGGCCAATAAGGTGGGAGGAAGGACACACTGGCCTTTACTCTGGCCAACGCAAAGAAGGATGGGTTTTCAAGGTAAGTGAGGTATTTATAGAGTGGCTTCACCAATACCACCACAACCCCAGGGAGTTGCTATGCCTGAGCGAGGATTTGAACCCAGGCCTTTTGTGTCCTGGTCCATTACTCTGTCCATTACACTAGTACACATTCTCTGAAGATGTGTTGAAACCCGATGCAGGAGGCTCTGTATTTCAACCTATATAGTCTGCTTAATAATAATGATCATCTGCCATCCAGTCAATTCTGACCCTTTCTAGAGTTTGCTAAGTAGAGAATACTCAGAAGTGAATTAACCTTCCTCTCCTCTAGGGGGCACCCTGGGACTCAGCAGCTGGCCCAAAGCCACACAGGCTGACTTTTCTCCTAGGAGGCACTAGCGGGGAATGGAACTGCCAACCTCTGGCTCCACTGGGCTATAGATGTACTGAAATGCAGAGCCTTGGCCAGCATGGTTCCTTGTCAAGGAGGAGGGAACAAAACATCTGGAGCTTCCAGTCTAGAACATCTGGAAGCCATCAAGTGGCCCACCCAGGTCTGGTAAGACTGGATGAACTCATGGAGAAAGATAGGATGTTGACTAACTAAGAGCCAAACAGTTAATTGGAACGAGAGGATGAACAGAAGTGAGATGGATTTGGGGCCTTCAAAGGAAATACACACGCTCAAGAGATTACCCTAATTCATGACGGAAAGGTACGTCAACAGCCCTCATCCACGGTACATAAAGAGAGCTTCAAGATACAGAAGCCATCTCTGTGAATAATAGATGCTGGGCTATAAAACCAGGCAAGGCCATCACCGTTTTCCCCCAGGGTTAAATAAATCAGGCTTTCTTTGCCAAATGTAATGACCTCCAGAGATCTTGGACTTAAATCTTCCCAGGTTCCATCACCATAATCACATTGGGGCAGCTAAGAAGAAGCGGAGCCCAAGAAGACCATGAGCGCTGGGGAGGCTCAGATGACAGAGGAGAGACTAGATGGATAGTCGTCATGACAGTGGACACTGGAACCAGTTGCCTGGGGAGTTGGTGAGTGCTTCAACCCTGGAGGCATTCAAGAAAAACTCAGATAATCACCTGGCAGGTATGCTTTGATGGTATTCCTGCAATGAGCAGGGAGGCCCCTTCCAACATCACTTTTCTATGATTTCTATAATTCTATGATTCAGCAAGGAAAACGCTAGGAGCCTTGAGAGTTCTTATTTCTTGCAGGTCTTTCTATGCCATCCTGAAAATGAACTCCCAGAGTGGCTTATAATAAAAAGCCAGCATAATTAAATCCACAGAAAAAGCATCTTGCGAACAACAAACTAAAAGTGATGAAATCTACAAGCGATCCGTTAAAAAATGGTCAACAGAAATAAAATGGAATGAGTTGTGAACTCCGTGTGTTAAGCCCCAGCCTTGGAGCCCAGGACGTTCTTGGACTACAACTCCCAGAAGCCTTCACTACTAGCTCTGCTGGGGCCAGGATTTCTGGGAGTTCTGGGTGACCCAAGATAAGGAACCATTGCTTTGAACCAGTCTTTCCCAAGCTTGGATCCCCAGATGTTGGACTAGAACTCCCAGAAACCTTCACCATGAGCTGTGCTGGTTGGGATTTCTGGGAGTTGTCGTAAGAGTCTTTGTTGCAGCAGTCTGAAAAAGGAACTTTTCAAAGATCTGGCCACAGCTGAGTCTTGCCAATCCCCTCACCACCTCTAGTCTGGCTTGCCACCAACTTCACCCTTGGTCTTGCTCCACGCTCTCTTGTGGGTTGCCTGCTTGCTGAGAACCACAGCTTGCGATTTGAAACAACACCGCTTAGCATTTCAAACATGGCTTCCTGAACTGGGGATTCACGAGATGTTAGACGAATTCTATGTTAGATGTCTTTTGTGGTAGTGGTGGAGGACCTACCTTCAGAGGGGTCCAACCTCCGTGCCCGGCGCCCGTGTTTGGAATTGTTGTGGACAAACATGTTATCGGAAACTGCAAGCACGTGGCCGTCCACGTTCACTGTTGTCGACACCACGACCTGAGGGAGAGCAAGAGGAGGTCAGGAAAGCAATAAGCAAAAAGGAAGGGAAGAAGGAAGAACAAGAAGGAATCACAACCTCATGGTCCTTCCATGACCCAGGATCACTGGGAGTCATTACTGCGCCCCAGTGCCTCTCGTGTTTTGTTCTCCCCTTGATCCCTGTTTTCACACGTTGCCTCTACAAATCAATAAAGTTGCAAACAATGGTTTGTAACCTTCTGGCTTGGTGTTTAAAAATAAATAAGAGTAAATGAACTGCAGTTCTCAAAAGTACATGTGGTTAGTCCCTGAGATGCTACCACTCATTCATTCATTCATTCATTCATTCATTCATTCATTCATTCATTCATTCATTCATTCATTCATTCATTCATTCACCAACCACCTGACTTACTGCACAGCACTACTCTAGGCAGTTTGCAGTGAGGGAAATAACCCACCAATCCTAAATCAAACCAACATGATCACTCATAAAATACAAGAAAAGAAAGTCATTAAAAACCCAAATGAGTCAGGGAACACCAATATAAACTAACGCAAGAGCGGATGTCCTTAAACACTTCTTGGAAGCCTAGGGTCTTGCACATCCTCTTAAAAGTCTTATCAATGTCAAAAAGAAACAAACAGAGAAGGGAAAATGAGGCAATAGGAGGCTGGCGCTTTGAGGAACACACGCCAAGGGGAGCGAAGCAGCGCTTCACCTTCTCTTCCTCTGGGTCACTTGCAACGGGCTCTCCTTGTACAGTTTTTCTTCTGCAAAGAGGAAACATCCGTGAGAGGGGAAATTGGCAGAGGTGGGTGGAAGTGTGACCAAAAGAGGGAAAAAGAGACAAACAAGCTGCAACGTTGTTGGAAGGAAGGCCGTCTCAGTGATCCGTTGAGATGCGGTCCAAGGGGGTAAAGGATCCAGAGCTCTCCACTGGGGCAGAGCACCTGGGGCTTTATCTCAGGCCGGTGATATCTAGAGGGCGCAAAAATCTGCTGCGTAAAGATTTCCAGAAGAGCAGCAAGACCCTGATGTCAAAAAATTGCAAGCAACTGCCCTGAGGAGAACACCCCGGCAGCGTGTCCTGGCACGTACAGCGCTGCCGCTTCGACACCTGGCAGCGCCAGGTCTTCCCCAAAAGAGGCAGGAGGAAGGCACCTGCCCCATCAGAAGCCATGAAAGAATTGCCCCATTGCCGCCCAGCCGAGCATTGCAGGGACACCCCTCCCTCTCCTATCTCTGTGCCGTTCAAGGTACAGGCACAAACTGGATACACCTGCCAACAGGTAAATGAGGCATAGGAAACAAGTCGGCGGACATAAGGAGAGAGGTTCCCCCTCTCTGCCTCGGGGGCCTCTCACACATCTAGGGGTGGCTGGAAAAGTCAGCCAAGCTTCTGGAGACGACCACTCCCAGGTTCTCCGGGCTACCAAGGCCATGTTAGAAAGCGTTGGGCGGTATGAGTTCTGAATGGCACGGCGCGTTCCTCTGGATTTGTCCGAGCTGAGAAAGCTATCAAACAATGGGCACCCAT